TGCGACATTCCGTAGGTGGGCTCGTGAATTAAAAATGGACATTTTTTTTTCATTCATCAAATTAGTTACAGGTATGTAAGAACTACCGTGGGGAAGGATACGCTTCAGCAGCCAGCTCAAGATGACTTGCACCCTAAGAATAAAAACTACATGGATAGGCGTTGAAGGCGGCGTATGCGGTTCCTTCCTTCTCAAAACACTTAGCGGCTTCCCCTCGCTGACCCTGGGGGGGGGGGGGGAGGCCGAGTCGGGGTTTAAATCACTTCCGAAGTCCATCGCACAAGCAGCAAAGTGGCATGGGACAAACGCGCGGTGCCGTTAAGACGAAAATCTGCTGGTGCGCACAGGAAATCTGTCGGGACACTGATAGACTCTTGTCCCTTGCTCTGGGTTGCCGAGACCAAAACAGTCGGAGGCTTTCGTGATCGGGATGATTATATATATTTTAATTCGCTTCCGCTTGCTTGCGACGATCCCTCTGAGAGTTCAGTAAAAGCGTTAGATAATGAAGTAACGTTATACATGTACCTTTACAGCCATCGCAAGTCTGCATTTTCTGTGCTTTGGGATTTTTATTCAGCTAAAGTAAGCACGAGGATCTGATCTACCTTCTGCGATTTAAGTTGTAATGCATTTTACATAAACCTACATTTACATATACTTAACCGTTTGCTCGAGTAATTTATGATTACGCAGAGTATATCAACACAGCTTCTTATTAAAGGTTCAGTTTTATTACACTAATTACACGTCAGTATAAGCAAGTACGCCTCCGTTAAAGCATAACACATTACAAGCAAGTCTTAGTAAAGTGGGCTATTACATTACCAATAACAAAACGGTGCGAGGCAATGCGCTTCTGACAGTCAGCTTACAATGGGACTCCGTCGTTCAGCGAATTCCTACAAATCACCCGAAATGCACTCCGATATTTTCTGGGCTCAGCAGCTAAGCAGGTTTGAGCTTGTTTACCGTTTGCATGGGTACACCACCGGGGCTTACCACGTGCGTGTAGACATTCGGCTTCAGGATGACCTGGAGGAAGCCGCGTGGAGTGTCATCCCCTCGTCCACGTGGGTCCATTCCGTGTTTTCTCCGTGTACTCAGATTTCCACCCCCACGTGCCAAACACTAATTGTGGAGCCGGTCAAACATCCTCACGCAGGATCCTCCGGGGAGAATAACCTTGAGTCTCAGTGTGGCTTTAATGGGTAAATCATATAGTAAAGTTATAAATACGTGAATATAAATTAATAGTTGTTTAACCTATGTACAACTTGCTGACAAATTAGCACCGCTTGTGTTTGGAAAATACACAAAGAAAAAAAGAAGCACTGCATCGGTCTGCATTGTCTGTCGAATAATGGGTGTTTGATTTGGCAGGGGACCTTTCAAACAATGACATACATTCGCAGAGAGTGCCGTGGGAATCACGGTCGTGCGCGGTTCCAGCAACAATTTTAATGGGTTTCCCAGGGAGACACGTGCCAGGCAGGAGTGGCTACCTTGCGCCACTGGGCAGGGCTTGTGATCACACGCAGACGGGAAAAATTACGCCCGGTGAACCACAGAATCGCACGAAACCCACCTTTGACTAAATATGTGACACCAAGAGTCTTGCGCGTGATCTTTATTTGATGAAGCGAAGACTGAATTGAATGTATTGTTCACGTGAAATATCCATTGACGTGAATACAGGCTGTCGTGGGGTTTTGAACTTGTGACTCATAACTTCAATGGACACTTAAAAAAAAACTGCCCCAAACAGGAGATGAACGACCCCAGACAGTGGCTGGAAATCGCAAGCGCCCCAAACGATGTTTCGCCAGTGATTGCAACTCCTCCGTTTTGTAGATTATAACTGACTGGAGTAAATTGGCTTATATTGGTTTTGTTGTTAACCATTGTTACAGGGTGGTGGAAGGCCGTGGGGGACTGGTTTGGTTTCATCCTATGGCCTTCGTGCGTTAAAGCAAATAGGTTAAATATATATTTTTTTCCAGAGGAAGTTTCTGTGGCTTTCTGACATCTCAAGCAAAACAGCTTAAGTGCATCACGTCTGGGATAGCAGCTGTGAGCAAATAAGAAGAAACACCCATGCCACCCAGGGGAAGCCTATTCTCTCTACCGAGCTCTGGTAGTCAACTTACACTCGGGCCTTTTTTTGTACTCCAAAAGCCAAATATAAATCAAAAATGCGCATATTGGTGTTACTTAAAGTACTCTCAACAATTAAATATTTTTTTATATGCTTTTGACCAGCTGCATGCGTCTATGTAAAAACAAAATAAGTATGCACGCTGTTTCTGTCCAGTGCCTTGAGACGCTACTTAAACCCACGCTTGTGTTGTATGACGTTAGAATGAGCCCCTGCAGCACGGAAACACAAAGGGCTCTGGAACGAAATCGCCACTGGACGTCTTTCGAGAGCTCTGTGAATGTCGGATGTTTTTTTGTGGAGGGTGCTCTTTATAGTGAGGGCATCTGTACGCAAATGCCAACTAACGATGGGTCAAAATACCAATGCATGTTGAATGAATGGTCCAGTGTTTCAAATGTATGAACACAGTGAAAGTCTTCAATACGCTGAATGACAAGCGGGAGCATTGTATTATTTCCCCTAAGATATCTCAAGCATATGAGATGACTTCATAAAATAACTATTAAAATGATCTGTCGGAATATTAAATTACCGGGTGCTTCTTTGAGTGAGATAAAGATTTACTTTTAAAAATGTGATTTACAGTGAGGGAAAAAAGTGTTTGATCCCCTGCTGATTTTGTACGTTTGCCCACTGACGAAGAAATGATCAGTCTATAATTTTAATGGTAGGTTTATTTGAACAGTGAGAGACAGAATAACAACAACAAAAAATCCAGAAAAACGCATGTCAAAAATGTTATAAATTGATTTGCATTTTAATGAGGGTAATAAGTATTTGACCCCCACTCAATCTGAAAGATTTCTGGCTCCCAGGTGTCTTTTATACAGGTAACGAGCTGAGATTGGGAGCACACTCTTAAAGGGAGTGCTCCTAATCGCAGCTTGTTACCTGTATAAAAGACACCTGTCCACAGAAGCAATCAATCAATCAGATTCCAAACTCTCCACCATGGTCAAGACCAAAGAGCTCTCCAAGGATGTCAGGGACAAGATTGTAGACCTACACAAGGCTGGAATGGGCTACAAGACCATTGCCAAGCAGCTTGGTGAGAAGGTGACAACAGTTGGTGCGATTTTTCGCAAATGGAAGAAACACAAAATAACTGTTAATCTCCCTCGGCCTGGGGCTCCATGCAATATCTCACCTCGTGGAGTTGCAATGATCATGAGAACGGTGAGGAATCAGCCCAGAACTACACGGGAGGATCTTGTCAATGATCTCAAGGCAGCTGGGACCATAGTCACCAATAAAACAATTGATAACACACTACTCCGTGAAGGACTGAAATCCTGCAGCACCCGCAAGGTCCCCCTGCTCAAGAAAGCACATATACATGCCCGTCTGAAGCTTGCCAATGAACATCTTAATGATTCAGAGGACAACTGGGTGAAAGTGTTGTGGTCAGATGAGACCAAAATGGAGCTCTTTGGCATCAACTCAACTCGCCGTGTTTGGAGGAGGAATGCTGCCTGTGACCCCAATAACACCACCCCCACCGTCAAACATGGAGGTGGAAACATGCTTTGGGGGTGTTTTTCTGCTAAGGGGATAGGACAACTTCACCGCATAAAATGGACGATGGACGGGGCCATGTACCGTCAAATCTTGGGTGAGAACCTCCTTCCCTCAGCCAGGGCATTGAAAATTCCAGCATGACAATGACCCAAAACACACGGCCAAGGCAACAAAGGAGTGGCTCAAGAAGAAGCACATTAAGGTCCTGGAGTGGCCTAGCCAGTCTCCAGACCTTAATCCCATAGAAAATCTGTGGAGGGAGCTGAAGGTTCGAGTTGCCAAACGTCAGCCTCGAAACCTTAATGACTTGGAGAAAATCTGCAAAGAGGAGTGGGACAAAATCCCTCCTGAGATGTATGGAAACCTGGTGGTCAACTACAAGAAACGTCTGACCTCTGTGATTGCCAACAAGGGTTTTGCCACCAAGTACTAAGTCATGTTTTGCAGAGGGGTCAAATACTTATTTCCCTCATTAAAATGCAAATCAATTTATAACATTTTTGACATGCGTTTTTCTGGATTTTTTTGTTGTTATGCTGTCTCTCACTGTTCAAATAAACCGACCATTAAAATTATAGACTGATCGTCTCTTTGTCAGTGGGCAAACGTACACAATCAGCAGGGGATCAAATACTTTTTTCCCTCACTGTAGCTACAGGTTTCCTTATATCAGGTGTATATCCCTGTCTTTAGGTGTATATCAATGTCTTTAGGTGTATATCCCTGTCTATAATATAACCTTGTGTTCCCAATAAGTGGCTCTCCTCTTCTGTGGTTTGAAAATGAGTTAACTTTGCTTGTATTGTACTTGATTTAACTAAATAGAAAATTATTGTCATGTTTTATAAAAATGTTGCCATTTCCCTTGGAAACAAAGTTAAACAAAATTCATGCTTCGTGGCCACACTGATGCGATTAAATCGAGTACTGTAAGATCATTTATTCGAGTATACCTCTAAGAATGCGCTTCCCGGTCCAGAATTTAGATCGTGCTTGACATTACCCAGCATACTCGCTTTCCTCATGAACATTCCCCTTGCAGGGTAGAAGGCATGCAATACAGGAGCAGGCAAGTACAGTGTGGCTACTGAGGGTTGGAGGGAGAGAGAAAAAAAGAGCACAAACCACATGCTTCTTTCCATGGCATCAAACCAACTTTCACGTGGACGATTGACGTGGAGTAGACGACCAGGAAGCTGGGGCATGAATCCACAAACAGGCGAAGAACACAACTCCAGCAAACGTGTGCCTTGTGAAAGGCGTACAAGTTTGTCACACGCAATTTTTTTTTTGCCCACACGAATAATTCGACGCATTTCGGTGACATTTTTGCACTTTATTGCTCAGCTTCTCGTTTTGTTTACAAGTGGTCACTGCCGCACAGGGGGTATAAAAAGGAGATCCCGCGAGTTTTATGGCTTGTCCCGGCTTCAGCTGACACCTCGCACCTGTCTCGCAGCGGCATCGGAATCACGCGCTCAGTGAGCGCCGGCCAGGTGGCATTCATTAAATGTGGCCCAAATGACAATAAGCCGGAGAGACCTGATAACAATCGTTTGCACTTTAGTTTACCCCTGGCATTGCACGGGAGTCACGCGGAACAAAAGCGAATGCAAACACAAGACATTAACGGCAGGGGAATTAAACAACTATTGCCAGTTCTTTCACTCGCACGAGGGGGCATTCGGTACTCCCCACCCCCCAACTTCAGCCTTTGTTACTGGTCCATTGAAACACATCACTCGACAGCGCGAGCCGTCTGCTGCATCTGGCATTCCAAAACATCCGGGCAAATTGGGTGTTAAATTGTTACAAGTAAACTAAAAGCAAAAGCGCGTTTGCTACGCTCCGATCGATCCAATTGCCGTGGGTTCCACATGCCCACCACAGCTTAGACAAGTCACACGTGTGGCCGACAACGATGCTTGATTCAGCTGGGCTCGCGGCTCGGTTTGTTCATTAACTCTAAAAAAACAAAGTCTGCGGCGCCTGCATTATCGGCCTTTCTGTACAAGGGCTCTTGCACGCTTCCATACAGGGTCATGTACATTTGAAATGTTTAACGGTAACTATTTACAAAATTATGCAAAAAAAACAATAGAAAAAAACAACAACGCTTCAGCAACTTGTACGTGTTTAACTCCTAAATGTGTGTTTAAAAAAAAAACAAGTATTTTTCTTACATTTTTATTGTTTTCGTTTCTTTTGTACTTTTTTTCTTTTTAGAGAGCACAATACTTTGACATATACCGTATTTCCTTAGCGTGGAAAACACGAAGCAAAATTGTGCTTATTTAATGCAATAAAAATAATCATCTAAACTGAATTTGTGCACATTTCTAGGATTAAAACACTGAACTGCAAGTATATAAAAAATCAGTGTAAAAATACATTTATATGAGCGGCATGGGGAGGCTGTCTCCATCAGGGCCAAAAGCACGACATGTCTAATCCCATCTTGGTGGCCTAATTCTGCTCGTTGCCTGTGAGGCATTGATCAGAAACTGAACATATTGATTGTTATGGAACCTCAGCAACCATCCAGCCAGTCCACTTCATGATTCATACCTCTACCACCACCATCAACGTTTTCCTGGGACAACCATTGTTTTTATAATGCTAAGAAGAGCTTAGGCAAAATTCCAATGGACTGCAAGAACAATCATCCAGAAGTCGATCAAACATCGTTTCAAGACGCATAACCGAGTCCCATCGTGATTGACAGGAAAAGAGCGGGTGAAGGGAAAGAGACTCACGCATGTCCAAAATAATCTTTCCGAACTTATTGGTAAACATAAACCAAACTCAATCACAAAGCACTGGCAGGGAAACAGCATACTTTGTGTTCATCATATTTGATTGATTCAAGTGTTTTTCTTTCTCCTTGCTCACCAAGACCCTGTTCTCAGACTCTATACAGCAAATGCATTATTGTAGCACCTACAGATGGTATTTCACAGATGCTAATAGAGTACATTGAGCAGCCCATACGACATGGGTATTGCACAGTGCTTGCCAGAGTTTAATTTTCACATGCATATCTTGTGCGGCACCTACATCAATAATTCCACAACACCCCACTCCTATTTCGCTCCCTACAAATATGTAAAAAGCACACGGCTTTTGTGCATTATGAAAAATAACAAACAGCTTTACTTGAAAAAGTACATTGTGGTCCCTTAGTCTTGGATTACCACCAAAATACATTTTAAAAAATGTGACCAAATGACAGCAGCAGTGATTCAGTGATAGATGACTGTGGAGCAGTGATCTAAGTAAGACAAGAAGACCACAATGCACTTTTTCAGGAAAAGCTGAATTGATTTTATATAACGCATAGCAGATGTGTGCTTTGGTCAAATTTTGGCATCTTCTTTTAAACTTGTGATTTTCCAGACTGCACTTTTCTTCTCTTGTGATCGATAAAGCTCATCATTTCGCAGATTTTAATTTCCCTACAAATATAAGCTTGAGCCCCTCGATAAGGGAAATACACAGCAATGTTTACACAGTGCTTCTGGGTTGCTTTTGGAAACAGCTTCAATAAATCACAAATGTTAGGCACTTTTTAATTTTCAGAAGCCCTTTGGAGCTCAAAGGTGTAAATTTACGATCCTAAAAGGTTTTCAGGCTTAGTTTGACTCATTAGCTTATAAAGATTTGTATTACTATTGCATAAACGTCAAAGTAAATGTGCAACTACCTACAAGTCATCAGTGGTTAACGGTTTATCGTCTGACACTCAATAATGAATGCAAAAACAATCGGGTTTGTTTAAAAAAAAAACAATATTAAAAGTAAATGCAAAGAACTGAGTGTGTATAATAGTTCTTACGCTGTGAAAAATGCAAAATATTTGCTCTGGTAGCTGGATAATGCGATTGTATGGTCAAAACTACAAGGCAAGTTTGTCGTTTGAAACAACTCCTTGCAAACACGCACAGAAGGGTGCATGGTTGGCCTGTAGCAAAGTATCACGTAGTCCGCCTTTCTAGAAACACACAAGCTAAATATTCCAATAATTTGTGCAAAGGTCTCAGATGGAAACAAAATCGTGAAAATTGGCGTGTTGTGGGTGCGTTTTTTTTTTTCCACGTGTGCACCTGTGCACGTGCTTCTGTATTCGTACACGTGTGCGGTGCATAGCTGTGTGCATAGTTGAGGGTCGTCTCTTCTTAGAAAAAAATCCGCTCAAATGGCCAGAGGGATGGGATGGCGGTGGAAGGATAACGAGGGGAGAAGAGGGCTTGTTGAATCAGCACAAAACGTGAGGCACAGACGAATCAACATTGAACCGCGATGCCAAACTCCACCAACCGCACAACTCGAACAAAAAAATTGGTCACGCAACTCAGAGCCACGTGCACGTCTTGGCGATTCCTCCAAGAAAACGAGCGTGCCGCCCTGACTGCCATCCCCCTGCCGGAGTGAAGACGGTCGAACCGGGTTTTGCGTGGTCGGGAGGGATCTAAGGGTTGCACTATGCATGGATTTCTTTTGCACCGTACGTAGCCGTACGACGGTGCTGTTTGATTGAGGGTGGGAAGACGGGCATTGGACAGAGCAGCCAGAGGACGATCCCGGGCCGACGGTTTTTGACGCGGGCGGACGCAGAGAAACCCGAGCAGATACCGGAAACGTGAATTTCAACGCCGCCCCGTCGTTAGGCGTCGATCTCACCGTTTCCACTGAAACGAGGCCAAAAAAAATGGTGAGAGGTTTCCGCTATTTGCGCCCCTCCTCTGTGCCGACTCTGGCGGGGGGGGGGGCATGGAAAACCTGACCCCCCCCCTCCCCCCCCGTCCTCGCTCAGCAGCACGTGGCTCAGTCCATGGGCATGGGCAGCACGGTGAACTTGTGGTCCTCGGAGGCACGGCGCACCGCGATGGAGAGCGTGTCGTCGCGCCGCACCGCGTCCGTGACGCTCTGCGTGTCGCGCACCTCCTGCCCGTTGATGCTGATGATGACGTCGCCGTCCCGCATGCCCGCGCTGGTGGGCGGGGGGGGGAATGGAGTAAAGAGAAACGTGTCAAGGTAATATCAACAAAAACGACAAGAGAGTTATGAAGGGAGTTCGCTTGCATTCTGCTGAATTTCAGCGGGAAGCTACAGAGCCGGAGGAGACCCAAAGGACCAAAGCGTCGATTGGCCAGGAGGAAACGGCACTATCAAAGTCGTAGTCAATAGAGACGTGTTAAAATGCTTCTCGACTTGAACAAGATTATAAAAAACGTGGGAAAAGAGATTCTGAGAGGGGAATCCAGAGTCAAGCAGTGCGAGGTAAGATGCAGTATGGTGGTTGAACGCAGTACAGGTGAGATAACCGAGTCCTCATCAGGGGTCGGGGAATCAACGAGTGAAGTTCACAAGAGCACGAGACATGGCCGTCACAACGGTGGAGTGACATGTATATGTATGTTGAACTTCTTCCACACCGTACGTAGCCAACCGTGCCAATCAAGAGGTGCGGGAAATCGAAGTGATAGAGGCGACAGAAGGGTGCGCTGTGCAAAACGTGCCACGCTCCCACCGCTTGTCGCCTCCCCTGCCGCCGATCACTCACGCGTAAGCGGGCGAGTCCCTGATGACTTCGTGGATGTAGACGCCCGTGCTGACAGTGGGCATGTCCCCGTAGCGACGCAGCTCCTTAATCAGCCTGGGTGAGAGAGGTCCACGAGGATTAGCCTAATCTCCGGGGCTGATGCTGCCGCTGCTGCCGCTGCTGCTGCTGCTGCTGCTTTCTGCTTCCACACGTGTCGTTTTGAGCTGGTGCCCACGCTTGTGCTAAGGGAGGCGCGTTTCCCTGACAGGTGCCCGCCATTACTGATCAATTCGGACATTATCGTCGTCATCATCAGCCATCACTTGTATCAAGCCTCCCGCGCAATACATATGGTTGTCACCTGTTCTGGTTTTCCAGGATCATGCTCTTTTTGAGGTAGATATCCAAGAAAATCCTATCCTGAAAGCTTCCCAGGACATTAGGTGTACTGGTTTTTGTCAATTGCCTAATTATACAGCACTCAAGACAAAGCATGTACATGTGTTCTTTCTCTCTTCCAGTGGAAAATACTCTTCTTCCCACAATGCCCCACTTTTTTTGTACCTCAGAAGTGGAAACTCTAGCAGTACATCTCGAGGTACCAAAACAAAGGGGTATTTGAAATAATAACAATAAGAGATTACTCTTCTTTGGTTCTTTCGGTAAATTCACGTAGAATGAACCAGAATGAACCAAAGAAGATGAATCCTTGCAGTCACGAAAGCTTTAAATCGAAAGAGATTACTCATTGTTTTTTTCGGTAAAGTCACGTATGTAGAAATACAATAAAATTATATTAAAATAAATCACGACGTTTTGATCATAACACATTGTATTTACCTCCATGATTTGTTCTTGACACCTGATGAAGATCGCTTGTGTTGTGATCGAAACGTCGTGATTGTTTTTGTTTCAATATAATTTTATTGTATTTCTACATACGTGACTTTACCGAAAAAACCAATGAGTAATTTTATGCAGTCACGAAAGCTTAAATTCTTTATTAATAAGAGATCACTCAGTAAGGAAGTGGTTGCAGACCACACACAATATGCAAAAACAAAGCAGCATACAGAGGCAAACATGAAAAAGCAAAACGAAAAGCTGAACTTGAGACGACTGCACTCTCTTTTGAGATCCCCTGCACATACACTTACTTGCATGACTCTTGCTATCTCACAGAAGCAATCACGTTGCACATTCGATGGCGCTTAATTGCATACACTAAGAAGAAACGTTATGGGATGCGGCGATGGCGGCGCAGTGATCGGCAAAACCCGGTGACCTGACTTTCGCTTCCGGCCCCGGCTAACGTCCGTGGCGAGTGATATCTGAACGAGCACTGGACACCCTCTCCCCCTCTTCACCAACGCACGGTGACCTGTGTGACCTGTGGTCAAAGATACGGATCCTTTACAAAGCCCAGAACACACCGCTGGAGCAAGTGTTGTTAACAAGCACCTATTAAGGCCAACGACGGGGGTTGGTGGCCCGTCCGCCTTTGTCTCCCCGGTGCTGATGTTTACACACCGCGTCAGGTACTCGTGTAAGGCTGAGTCGACCTAGAGGAGGCCCAGTACCAGTTCAAATATTCGCCACTGTGATTATTGGTTGCGAGCGGGAATTGAGTTCAGGTTGCCAGGTTTGTGGCGCAGTGCACTTAGCACGAGACGACCGCTCCTCATGAAGTATGGTCAAACAACCCACGTGACCAACAAAGCATTTTTCCAGCAGTGGATTGGCATTTGCCTGAAAACTAAAATGATCCTTATTATTCTGTGACGAACTTCCGAAGATCAAAACCAATGTCAAGTTCATACAGCGTCGCATAAAACAGGTTGCTTAAAAAAAACGTTAACACTTACGAGAATTTGCAACAATACCGCAAGAAATGTGCCTCCAGGCTCTGAAGACCTCCTGGAGTAGAGTCTAGGCCATGTGTTGACGATGATGGCGAACAAGTGCGGACTCTTTGACTTTCTGAAGCTATTAACATACATCTGTTATCACGTTATAGTGTGTTATCCGTTCTTTTGCCATTCAAAAATCACGATAGTCCCATGTAATCTTCTTTGGTTCTTTCGGTAAGGTCACGTAGAATGAGAATAAAATAATAAAATAACACAATAAAAGTCTCACGACGTTTCGGCCACAACGCAAGCGGCCGTCTTCAGGTGAAAGGTACAGACCTGTCGGGACGACATAGCTTCAAGCTTCAAGCTCTGTCGTCCCGACAGGTCTGCTTGCGTTGTGGCCGAAACGTCGTGAGAATTTTATTGTGTTATTTTATTATTTTATTCTCATTCTACGTGACCTTACCGAAAGAACCAAAGAAGATGAATCCTTGCAGTCACGAAAGCTTGAAATCGAAATTTAGTCCCATGTAAGTGTTAACATTTTTTTAAAGCACCCTGCACAGTGCCTCGAGGACTGTGCACTGGCGGCGGATTGGCAGCGACGTGGTCGAGCCTGTCACAAGTGTCGACTTGGAAGGCGCCACCACCACCACCACTGCCACAGCTCCACCACCACCACTGCCACTGCACCACCACCACCGCCACCACTGCCACAGCACCACCACCACTGCCACCGCACCACCACCACCACTGCCACCGCACCACCACCACCACTGCCACCGCACCACCACCACCACCGCCACCGTAGGACGGCCGGCCTCCACGTATGCAGGCCGAGCAGGGTGCAACAATTTGTCGCGCCCACTTACAGCAGTTGTTGAAAACAACCAACTTTGTTTTTACTTATTACGCTGCTGCCCCCGGACGCAAGGGCAGCCCCAGCCCCCCCCCCCCCATGAGGTGCCGACACTTTGCTGGCTGCCCTTGTGGGGCTCGCGTTTTCAAACCTCGCTGCGACGCTTTGACGCACGGCTCTAACTGCAAGCTGTACAGTCTTTTATCTCTGTCTTCTTCTTCATCTTCTTCCTCTTCTTCTTCTTCTTCATCTTCTTCCTCTTCTTCATCATCTTCTTCCTCTTCATCTTCTTCTTCCTCTCCTTCATCTTCTTCTTCGTCTTCTTCTTCCTCTTCTTCTTCCTTTTCTTCGTCTTCTTCATCTTCCTCTTCATCTTCTTCTTCCTCTTCTTCCTCTTCTTCTTCATCTTCTTCTTCTTCCTCTTCATCTTCCTCTTCATCTTCTTCTTCCTCTTCTTCATCTTCTTCTTCGTCTTCATCTTCTTCTTCTTCCTCTTCTTCTTCATCTTCTTCTTCTTCTTCTTCTTCTTCTTCTTCTTCTTCTTCATCATCTTCTTCATCTTCTTCTTCCTCTTCATCTTCCTCTTCATCTTCTTCCTCTTCTTCTTCTTCTTCTTCTTCTTCTTCCTCTTCCTCTTCTTCCTCTTCTTCTTCATCTTCTTCTTCTTCCTCATCTTCTTCTTCTTCAATAACGAGTTTGTTTTGAAGCCCATGGGTGGCGTTTTACACGTGCAGAATGTCGGCACCACGAAATGTTTGCACTTTTATAAGCGCAGGATGAGCCGAGGAGGATTAAACGGCAGCCGAGGTTTTAACCCGCAGCGTTTGTTCGTGCTAAGCGTGACATCATGAACATTCCAAATCTGTTCGGTCCGGTGATTTAAAAATCGCTGCTGTCAACAATTCCGCACAGGTGTGGGCATTAGGGTTTGGAGATGAGATGAATGCGCAACTACGCTGCTTTGACACTAGCAGGTAATTCGATAAGTTGTGAAGCTTACCGAAGATTAATCATAGCCAGACTGCACCGGGTGCTCAACCTGTAATTGCAGCAGTATACCGAACGTCTAAAAGAACATTTGTCGAACAAAAATGAGTGCACAGCGGTGGAGTGATATATGTATGTATGTATGTTGAACTTCTCCCACTGCTGTAGGGATTTTTCGCAAATCGAATAGGATTTTGGAAAAGCGCTGCATTCATTAAGTTGTTCCTCCAATTGATTTCGTTTGTGCTGTTCGACGGCATGTGTTGAGGAACAGAATCCATTTGGAAATCTCACCGAGCAGGGCTCAACCCTGTGTGCGTGTCAGGGAACAGCAGCGGCGGCGGGGGTGATCTCACACAGGACTTCTCCAGGAGTATCCTTCAAGTGGCATTGTTATCCTTCACACAGAAGGGCTCATGCTTCCCCACACACTGCTATGAGATTGATGTATTTAAATGTTAGAGTTGGGTTTTAGTCAAATTAAGTCCACAGCCAAATTTGACGAGATATGTTTTGAAAAGTTCGTTGGTAACTTGGCTGAGACCATCAACTTGCTATACTTGAGAACTCAGTTGATGTACCAGTCAGCCCTTTATCAGTGCCCTACCTTATCACAGACCAATTCAGGCCTCATTGGTCACCCCGTGCCCTTATAAATCTCAACGTTCGTCCTACAAAGTCTCATCGCAAGGGAGAAACGCAAACAAATAGACAACTTATTTTGCCCGTATTGAAACGGCTGTACGCCGTATGGACCTAAAAACTCAATTTCCCTGTACAAGAAGATGGGGTAAACCGTATCGGTTGACAGGTATGAGTTGATCAGGGGTAAATGACATCCAGATTCGGATCTCAGCTCTCAGGCACCTTGATATTAAAACGATTTTATATGTATCTATCAACTGAGATACACGAATAATGTGCCAATATGTAATGCATTGCGATCATACATTTGTAATTACAGTAAGTGATAGACTTTGTATGATTAATAATTGAGAAGCTTTTGTCAGTTCACTGCTGGATGAAGGTATCACGTTGTGTCAGTCATAGGGGTTGTTTGACCATACCTCACCACGCTGGTTCGCGTGGTTTTAAGAATGATCAGATCATCAGCTATCACTCGTCGCTGATTGGCAATGATGGAGCCAGTGTTGGCGGTGCTGTGGCCAGATTTGGGTCACCTGTAGTTAGTAGGACAATCCACTAACTACTGCGACACTGCACCACCGAGTAAAAATATACAATAACACGCCACACTACGTGACAGCAATAGTATGATAATAAAAGTCCTGGTGATCTCACCGAGATGTGAGTGTAGACATTCTGATCCCAATGTATTTCTTTTTTGGCTTGGTTTCTCCTGCAACAACAAAAAACAGCCCCGCAACAATTTAACATTTCAATGTACCCTAAAGTATTAGTTTTGCTGAAATAGCGCCTGATTTATAAGCCGGCGGAGTGCTGTAGGTGTCAGATGCCCATTGAGGACAGCAAAGGTGAAGTAAGATAAGAGTGAGGGTGTCATCCAGGTGTGCGGGCATGTCTTGAGAGATTCGAAACATCGCTCGAGTGAACATCGAGGCACTTTGAAAAGTTTTGAGCTTAGTTTAAACATTTTACATTGGGGTAAACACAGGTGCCTTTCAGGTAAACAGTCTATTCCAGTCAATAAAAAATAAAGAAAGAAATTAAACTCTACGTTAAGCATAGAGTATGATAAATACATTATCTTTGCACCACTGATATGTTAGGTATGTACCTCAATTCCTGAAATGGCATTAAAAAATGTTTTATGCAGAAAGATCTCCATTGGAATGTTTTAAGCAACTTAGTTTGACTTGGGTTGTCTGTGGGTTTCTAATTAATTTCAAAACCGTGGCTTGTGTTGGTGGTGGTGGCGGCGTAGAATTATGCTGGCAATTCTATTAGTGTTGGTGGTTATGGCGATGCTGGTGGTGCCATTGGTGATGGTGCTGATTCCCCTGGTGGTAACAATGTTGCTGTTGGTGATCGTGGTGATAATGGTGCTAGTGGTGCTGCCAGTATTGGTGGTGGTAGTCAGACTCGATTGGAGGTTGTCTACCGGCTGAAGTGCCCTTGAAAAAGAGCTTCTTCGCCTAATGGGCTTTACTCGGAAAATGCACTTTTGATTCTGATTCTTGTTGTACTATTGGCAGCGCTGGCGGTGCTGGTAGTGATGCTGGTGGTGATGCTGGTGGTGATGCTGGTGGTAGTGATGCTGGTGATGATGCTGGTGGTGGTGTTGGTGGTGATGCTGGTGGTGGTGATGCTGGTGATGATGCTGGTGGTGGTGTTGGTGGTGATGCTGGTAGTGATGCTGGTGGTGGTGATGCTGGTGATGATGCTGGTGGTGGTGTTGGTGGTGATGCTGGTGGTGATGATGCTGGTGGTGATGCTGGTGGTGGTGTTGGTGGTGATGCTGGTAGTGATGCTGGTGGTGATGCTGGTGGTGGTGTTGGTGGTGATGCTGGTGGTGATGCTGGTGGGGATGCTGGTGGTGGTGATGCTGGTGGTGGTGTTGGTGGTGATGCTGGTGGTGATGCTGGTAGTGATGCTGGTGATGATGCTGGTAGTGATGCTGGTGGTCGTGATGCTGGTGATGATGCTGGTGGTGATGCTGGTAGTGATGCTGGTGGTGATGCTGGTGGTGGTGATGCCTGTGATGATGCTGGTGGTGATGCTGGTGGTGATGCTGGTGGTGATGCTGGTGGTGGTGATGCTGGTGTTGATGCTGGTGGTGGTGTTGGTGGTGATGCTGGTGGTGATGCTGGTGGGGATGCTGGTGGTGGTGATGCTGGTGATGATGCTGGTGGTGATGCTGGTAGTGATGCTGGTGGTGATGCTGGTGGTGGTGATGCTGGTGATGATGCTGGTGGTGGTGTTGGTGGTGATGCTGGTGGTGATGCTGGTGGTGATGCTGGTGGTGGTGATGCTGGTGTTGATGCTGGTGGTGGTGTTGGTGGTGATGCTGGTGGTGATGCTGGTGGTGATGCTGGTGGTGGTGATGCTGGTGTTGATGCTGGTGGTGGTGTTGGTGGTGACGCTGGTGGTGATGCTGGTGGGGATGCTGGTGGTGGTGATGCTGGTGATGATGCTGGTGGTGGTGTTGGTGGTGATGCTGGTGGTGATGCTGGTGGTGATGCTGGTGGTGGTGATGCTGGTGTTGATGCTGGTGGTGGTGTTGGTGGTGATGTTGGTGGTGATGCTGGTGGTGATGCTGGTGGTGATGCTGGTGGTGATGCTGGTGGGGATGCTGGTGGGGATGCTGGTGGTGATGCTGGTGGTGGTGTTGGTGGTGATGCTGGTGGGGATGCTGGTGGTGGTGTTGGTGGTGATGCTGTTGGTGATGCTGGTGGGGATGCTGGTGGTGGTGTTGGTGGTGATGCTGGTGGTGATGCTGGTGGTGATGCTGGTGGGGATGCTGGTGGGGATGCTGGTGGTGATGCTGGTGGTGATGTTGGTGGTGATGCTGGTGGTGATGTTGGTGGTGATGTTGGTGGTGATGCTGGTGGTGGTGATGAAGGTGATGATGCTGGTGGTGATGCTGGTGGGGATGCTGGTGGTGATGCTGGTGGGGATGCTGGTGGGGATGCTGGTGGTGATGCTGGTGGTGATGTTGGTGGTGATGCTGGTGGTGATGTTGGTGGTGATGTTGGTGGTGATGCTGGTGGTGGTGATGAAGGTGATGATGCTGGTGGTGATGCTGGTGGGGATGCTGGTGGTGATGCTGGTGGGGATGCTGGTGGGGATGCTGGTGGGGATGCTGGTGGTGATGCTGGTGGTGGTGTTGGTGGTGATGCTGGTGGTGGTGTTGGTGGTGATGCTGGTGGTGATGCTGGTGGTGGTGTTGGTGGTGATGCTGGTGGTGATGCTGGTGGGGATGCTGGTGGGGATGCTGGTGGGGATGCTGGTGGTGATGCTGGTGGTGGTGTTGGTGGTGATGCTGGTGGTGGTGTTGGTGGTGATGCTGGTGGTGATGTTGGTGGTGATGCTGGTGGTGGTGATGCTGGTGATGATGCTGGTGGGGATGCTGGTGATGATGCTGGTGGGGATGCTGGTGGGGATGCTGGTGGTGATGCTGGTGGGGATGCTGGTGGGGATGCTGGTGGGGATGCTGGTGGTGATGCTGGTGGTGGTGTTGGTGGTGATGCTGGTGGTGGTGTTGGTGGTGATGCTGGTGGGGATGCTGGTGATGATGCTGGTGGGGATGCTGGTGGGGATGCTGGTGGTGATGCTGGTGGTGATGCTGGTGGGGATGCTGGTGGGGATGCTGGTGGGGATGCTGGTGGTGATGCTGGTGGTGATGTTGGTGGTGATGCTGGTGGTGGTGATGAAGGTGATGATGCTGGTGGTGATGCTGGTGGGGATGCTGGTGGTGATGCTGGTGGGGATGCTGGTGGGGATGCTGGTGGTGATGCTGGTGGTGATGTTGGTGGTGATGCTGGTGGTGATGTTGGTGGTGATGTTGGTGGTGATGCTGGTGGTGGTGATGAAGGTGATGATGCTGGTGGTGATGCTGGTGGGGATGCTGGTGGTGATGCTGGTGGGGATGCTGGTGGGGATGCTGGTGGGGATGCTGGTGGTGATGCTGGTGGTGGTGTTGGTGGTGATGCTGGTGGTGGTGTTGGTGGTGATGCTGGTGGTGATGCTGGTGGTGGTGTTGGTGGTGATGCTGGTGGTGATGCTGGTGGGGATGCTGGTGGGGATGCTGGTGGGGATGCTGGTGGTGATGCTGGTGGTGGTGTTGGTGGTGATGCTGGTGGTGGTGTTGGTGGTGATGCTGGTGGTGATGTTGGTGGTGATGCTGGTGGGGATGCTGGTGATGATGCTGGTGGGGATGCTGGTGGGGATGCTGGTGGTGATGCTGGTGGTGGTGTTGGTGGTGATGCTGGTGGTGATGCTGGTGGTGGTGTTGGTGGTGATGCTGGTGGTGATGCTGGTGGGGATGCTGGTGGGGATGCTGGTGGGGATGCTGGTGGGGATGCTGGTGGTGATGCTGGTGGTGGTGTTGGTGGTGATGCTGGTGGTGGTGTTGGTGGTGATGCTGGTGGTGATGTTGGTGGTGATGCTGGTGGTGGTGATGCTGGTGATGATGCTGGTGGGGATGCTGGTGATGATGCTGGTGGGGATGCTGGTGGGGATGCTGGTGGTGATGCTGGTGGGGATGCTGGTGGGGATGCTGGTGGGGATGCTGGTGGTGATGCTGGTGGTGGTGTTGGTGGTGATGCTGGTGGTGGTGTTGGTGGTGATGCTGGTGGGGATGCTGGTGATGATGCTGGTGGGGATGCTGGTGGGGATGCTGGTGGTGATGCTGGTGGTGATGCTGGTGGGGATGCTGGTGGGGATGCTGGTGGGGATGCTGGTGATGATGCTGGTGATGATGCTGGTGGGGATGCTGGTGGGGATGCTGGTGGGGATGCTGGTGATGATGCTGGTGATGATGCTGGTGGTACTGCTGCCACTGCAGCATGTGGCGTTGAGAGGTGCGTGGTTACCTCGAAGGCGGCGCTCGTGCGCCTGCTGGAGGAACTCTCTGATGCGGTCGGACGGGATGGCGAAGGAGATCCCTGCCGTCACTTTCAGGGTGTTAATGCCGACCACCTCGCCGTCCTGAAAAGCGTTTACACCACGGGTCGTGAGAATACGATACAGGGTGCAGGGAGGTCTTCATCCAGCAGTGGATACGCAATGGCTGATGATGATTAACATTTTATTCATACGTAATATTCACATATCACCGTGTTGTACAATGTTGCTATGGACCTGTCATCCCGTGTTTACTGCACTGATTTATTTTGTGCAGGTCTCACTTGCAAAATAAATAGTCCTATTTGGGTCTCACTTGCCTTAAAATAAATTAGACACATTTATTCGTATCTCTTGCCTAAATTCTGTTATGAGTATTGTTGCTCAACTCACCCCGATGAGCTGAATAATAATAATAATAGGCTCGTTAAATTCTTATACATGTGAACCTTATGGCAGTACCACAGTACCCCGGCTCTCGCATAATGTCCATGATGCAGTCATCTTTAGTCTGTTGATGGTCGGCGATGCGGCAATCGACTCATCTCGACGAGCTGTACACGATGCACCACCACGGTGCGTGCGAGCGTTCAGGGTTCCAGCGCAATCGCCCTCGCTGCGTTTCGACATCGCGGAGTGTGGCACTGATTTCGGATTGATTGGTTACCCCAGTCGCGGAGTTGAGTAACACCCCTGGACAAAAATAGTGTCCCAGAAATAAAGTATTTAATTGCCTCGGCCAGTTTGTATTATTTGGTACCCCGGGGTAACGCCATAAGGATCACGTGACAAAAAATGTTAGGCTGTTTCAAGTGGTGGAGGGCGCTTAAAGACAGAGATCTGGTCCGACCATTACACGGCCTAACCCACACATATATTTATAATCACAATATTGGCTGCAGAGAACATACGTATCATGCTACATTCATTACCTTAAAAAAGGGTAGAGGTGCAGCACTGCAATTACTTGCCGATGCACCTCTGACGTAAAAGACATCCACGAGAGGGAACTCTGAAGAGCCCCTCTAGGTGGTATTTTGGCCCACTCTTCCATGCTAACCAAACGTGTCTCGGATTGGGTGGGCGCACCCACGTGTTACCCCAGCACGCGTGACACCTGCCGACTGACGAACTGTGGTGTACACGAGTTATGTCATGGGACCCTTTCGCCAGTATCAAAGTATGAAAAATAAGAATAGGTTTAACCCTTTCTGTTTATAAAACAGATGTTGAGATGTTCAAACGGCAAAGAGATACCCTTTGCAAACATGCTCTAGTAATCATTAGACCTCCTTTGCCAGTACCAAAATGTAATAATAGGGTTTTCCCCTTTTTTCTGGCAACAAAACTGAAGCCTTTTTACAAGGATTCACGTCTACATTCACCACAATACCTGCAGTCAAAATACAAACAAAAAACATACTATGATAATATATACATTGTCCTTGAGGACAATGCAATATATTATCATATTGTACTTGAGGACAATGCATATATTATCATAGTATGATTTTGTTTGCATTTTTACTGCAGGTATTGTGGTTCATGCAGACATGAATCCTTGTAAAAACGTTTCAGTTTTGTACCCAGAAAAAAGGGGAAAACCCCTATTATTATGCTCTAGTAATGTTTGTTTGTTTGCATGTTCTCCACAAGCACTGTGTGTGATTAATGCAGTAAACTTGATTCCTTGCAAAAGGTTTCAGTTTGGTGTTTTGACATCTCAACGTCTATTCTTGGTTCTTTCGGTAAAGTCACGTAGAAGGGAAACAATAAAATAATACAAATATAAAACAATAAAATTCTCACGACGTTTCGACTGCAACACAAACAATCAGATGATGACTGCCTGTGCTGCATTTGTATTATTTTATTGTTTCCCTTCTACGCGACTTTACCGAAAGATCCAAGAATATGAATCCCTGCAGTCACGAAAACTTTAAATCAAAATCCCAACGCCTGTTTTATTGCCAGAAATAGGTAAAACCTACTCTTATTTTTCATACCGTGTTGTAAAGATTTATGCTGTTGGGTGGACAGGGGCAAGGATGGGGGGGGGAGGGGTTCAAGAATCTTCAACGCTGGGAGATGAATTCGGCGCGCTCACCGTCCCACAATATCGGTACATCTCTTGGGCTCCACTCGCTCCACGACGCTATGCCATGCCTGCTTTACGACCACCCCTGACCCGTGCACCCTGCTCGTGAAGTTGTCGCGAGGACCCCCGTGCATCTCGCGGCGCTTTGTCTGCTAAGCCAATGCAAACAGCCCATCGGACATTGTGAGGAAATACCACGGCACTCCCTCGCTGGGAACTCACAGAATGTGAAACGCACAGATATCCTTACAAAGATTGCGCTCGTAAAGAGATATGGACTATACGAGGAACACCCATATTTTATTATTCTAGGTCACAACACCCGAGAGCCTGGATACTCAGCTCCATATCGTATCAGAATGTTTTCTAAAAGAAACACAGTACCCATTTATGATTTAAATTGTTCTTACAGTATTTGACAATTTATGATGACAGTATTATTTTCGATTGTATTGTATAATAGTGGTTGGTGCACTGAAACTATGTGCTCCGTGACCTGAGTTTGATTCTCAGCCATGGCTGTATCAGTGGCGAGTGATATCTGAACCAACCTGCACTGACCACAGTGGGGAAGTATGGCCAAAACAACTCCCACAACCGAAAGGATTTACAAAGGGTTGAAAAATATTATTACATCAATGTTGTAATGAGGGTTCTCATCAAAGCATCTGTCACCAAAGGTTGCAGACGATGCTGTGAATTAACATACAAAAGTGGATATATTTTTACAACGTCCTAATTGGTAATATGCTGAATTCTGCTCAAATTCCCATTAGTTGCTCTCTATTCTGGTGCAATAAGGAAATAAAACACACTTGATGTTCTTTATTATTTCGTATTTTCCCATTCAAAAATATTTCAACATATCCAGTATTTAATTGTGAATATGCTAATATTCCCCAAACGTTTTTACCATTTGAAAACAACATTTTCTCGTGAGATGAATGGGGTTAGCTTATCAATCCTAAAACTGAAATCAAGAACAGATAAAGCTTTGTAAACCACTTTCTTTAAAACATGGCATTAAAAAAAATGTATTGGGGTCCAAACTTAACACAATGATGAAAGCATGTTTTTAAAAGGGAGCAGCCATCCTGTATGGTTAAATTGCTGTAATCTCCCAGCCTGCTTATCAGCTGCTCTGCGTTGCAAGTCCAATGCCAATTAACAATATTCCGCTGGCTCTGCAACGTCGCTTCGAGTTGTCATTAATCAGCTGCTGTGCTGTCGTGTGTGGCTTTGCGATGACTTTAACGAGACGACCGATGCCATCTGGTCCCGTGGCTATTCTTGTGAAGAAGGAATTATTCAAATAACACGTGGAAATGGAGGTTCATATTGTGAGCAACACAAACGGCCAGATAGCACTAAATCACCATAGATATGTGACGCACACGTGAGTGGTACTAATTCTTATCGCAAACTAAATTTAAACACGAAGAAATTTGGTAAGGCTAATTAGATTAAATGCGGCGCAATAATACATTGAGGGCGCGATGCGGTGGTTATCTCATTGAGAAACAAACCCGTCGATCTGAGTTTCAATCCCAGCCACGGCTATCATCAGTGGCAAGTGATATCTGAACCTGTCCTGGGTGTCCACTTCATCAACCCACACTGAACCTGCGTTATGAAGTATGGTCAATAACAACCTCAATGACGGACGCAGCGTGGATGAGGCATTTAACTGGCAGTGGACTGACAAGGAGCCACAATTGACATTCGGTATACATTTTTCAGGTTTATCTGGTTGCTGCTCTTACTCCAGCGATACGTGGCGAAGCTCAGAGGGCACTTTCGCACAATTACAACGTAAGTGAGGGGTAGGTTCTGTCCTAGATGCTGCTGCTATCTGGGCACTGTCACCACCTCGTTAGCGTGATGTCAGCAGACATTGCCTTGAGTAGCAGTGTAACGTTTTGGCAGCGGGGCCAAGCCCATGGGGAAAACAACTTCCAGATTTAAGGCAAAACAATCTGAGCTAGACATTAAAAGCAATGCATAGGCTGTTGAAGCTTTAAACTTTACAAGCATTCCTTTACAAAAAAATTGATAGGAACAGAACGTGAAAAGTACTACATTTGAGTAGTGCATTTCTGTAAAGATTTAAGTTCCGCAGCACTGAATTACCCTCTTAGTTTTGTTTTTAATACAAGCTGTGTTCTGTTCAATCTCCTCTCTGACATAATCACGTGCAGTGCATTCCATGCCTACCACATGCACACTCAAGGATTTCACAAGACGCCACTAATCTGCATGATCTCTACATATCGCAATTAAGGCCGCATACATGCAAGTGCTTTGCATGCACTCCGGATTTTTGGGAAAAGTTGTTTTCCATCTCGATGTATCATGAATACAAAAACATCACTATGTTGTACACTGTATAGGTCATCAAGAGTACGATCAAATCACCCGGAATGTACCCAATCCCATCATATCTCAGAAGCTAACTGTGATAAGGTGTGCAGTGGGTCACCCACTTTGCACAACTGATTGTTGTTGGCTGTGGAGCGACGTAGTGAGCAGCAGGGGAGAGTGCAGCTACATCTATTGTACTGTACTTCTATGTTCCCGTGTCAATGCTCCCCACCTTCACCCATCGACACTGATCAGTGTGGTGAGGTAATTGTTTCACATGTATCTGCTTTCTCCAGCCAGTGAAGCAAGGACAAGCACATTCCTTCCAATGATTAAGCTAAGCAAAGTTAGATTGTGATCAGCATTATCATTGGCAAACAAGCTTATGGATTAAAAAAAAAGTGGATGCTCAGAATGCACGAGTCATTAAAACTGTAAGAGTCCTAAATATTTAGGCTAACTTGGCAGATAGAAGGAGATTGAGACCTTTGTTTGACTGGAGACTTGAATTTCAACGACTGATCTCTTGACAAACGTGTGTATCTGACAGCTCACTGTTCCCAGGGGTGAATTAAATCGCCTTTTTTGACAAATCTTATTTTGACGAGAATAATCCTTTTTCCCCGTCGGAGGTGGCAACCAGATTAGCACGGTTTGGCTACGTTACCTCCGTTCCCGGTGCGGACGAAGTTCAACATACGTACGTGCAAATGTCACTGGCGTGAAAATTATGATTTTTTTTTTAAAATCCACTTACCAAGTTGACCAGGGGCCCGCCAGAGTTGCCGTACTGTCCCAACGCCACGGGGCCAGCCACACGCAACGAGAGACATAATCGCACAGGTTAATACCGGTGACAGGAACATTTTGCTGTTTCAGGAATAATATGATGTTTTTTTCCTGGATTTTCTGTTTGCACAGTCACATTAGTCACTTTAAGATGTTTTCTTGTTCATGTTTTTGTTTTTTTTGTTTGTTGCGGTTGCACTCGATTCAAGAGCCGAATGGCTCACAGGGCTATACCAAAATAAATAAAACTGAAATAAATAAATAAATAAATTTTAACTGACACAAAGTACTGAGTCGAAGCACGCTCACCCCAAAACGGTAACATCGATAAACCAAAGGGCACAGTGTAACAGACCGACGTTACCATTCAGGCACGCCGGATAGGCGGTCAAAACATTTTGGGCGAATGGAGGTACTCGAAAATAAAGCTGCCATAAATCACTTTAGTCTCGATATTATTAAAGACCCGGAATGTTTAATAATAGAGGTGATGGTGAAGGATGGCATTAACACGAGTGCATACTGTTCACGTTCCATGCTTGAAGCGTTTCACTATACCTTCTATATAAAAGTCTTCATCCAGAAGCAGAATCTTTATTTATACTGGAGGAATAATTGCCTCCACAGTAACTACAGCCACACCAAGCTTCACTCTACCGAGTCTACTCCGCGACCTCTCCTGCCTTTGAGTGAGCTAGACCTGTAATTGCTGTTGAACGTCGATTGTATGTCCTTGATTAGTTTCTCATCAACCGATGAATCTGAATGTAACATTCTCATTCCCACAATGCACATGCCATTTAGTGTCATAGTTTGGATTCCGATTAACTCAACGTTGGAAAATAATGTCCTCTCCCGAAGAAAAAAACGGTAGCAATATGTATGTGTAATAAATGCAAGTCTGTAATGTTTATAATTGTTTATATCTGTTTCAAGTTAGACTGCCCAACTTATATAAATTTTCACATATATGTATATCAGTCCATACATTCTACTGCCATTATGCCCACATTTACAATCAACTTTAATTTAGTGCACATTGGATCTAAAACAAGAATGGAAAAAAAATAACCGGTAAGGCGTAACATCAGTGAATGCGTTACACTCGGGGCCTGAATCTCTCACTGCGTACTCTCTGGGTTCGCTGGTAGCCTGCAGTCGGTGGCACAGGATTAGTAGCTGCAGACATAGCCAGAGGTGGACGGGATTTTCATTTTTATTGCTGTGGTGAATTAGATGAGCCCATATGATTAGTTTTATTTTTATTTTACATCAACGTTGCCGACCACAGGCTCAGAGGGCCAAAATGCCAAACAACCATCAACAAACAGCGCTATTGAAGGTGCAATAGATAATAATAAATAATGAATTAGTATTCTTTTTCGCGGTGTACCAGTTCCATATATATTTTTCCGGGGTTGCTGACCGGGACAGACCCAAGATGCAACCGATACGTAAGCCCTAGGCGGCAGTCGAGCTCCGTCATCACCGACGACGAAGCCGCCCGGGCCAGCCGGTTCTCCGCTCGCGCTCACGTTGATGATGGCGTCGGTCTGGATGTAGTCGGCGTCCGAGTCCTCGAGGCCCAGCTCCTGGCCGCCGCGCTGTGCCGTGCTCACGATGCCGGTCGTCACCGTGTTCTGCAGCTTGAAGGGGCTGCCGATGGCCACGACGAACTCGCCAGGGCGCAGCTCGGCCGAGCGAGCGAGCCGCAGCACCGGCAGCTTTTGCTGTGACGGGAGAGGGGCGGCAGCGACGTCGGCCGAGCTCTTAAAGACTCAAGCGGCCGCACGAACCACCACTTGGCCGTTCGCTCGGCCCCCCGCCCCCCCACCCCCCCGTCATTCATTAATACATTAATATATGAATGTATTTATAAATGCACTCAGCACTTCCACTTATTTTCTCATCCAATTAATTTTCGATGCTGTGTTTTTTTGTCCCCCCAGTTTTCCAAGTCATGTAACGTCCTGTAAAACAATAAACTGTCTTGAAATAAAAAAAAAAATGATGTTTGCTTCCTTTTGGTGTGCCACTCATCATGGTATGACTTTAGTTTCTCGAGTTGTCAGCAGAATGACAAACATCTTTCAGCCAATTCATAGTGGTGTGAGGACCACATGGGGACAGCAAAGAACAATGCCAGGAGGCAGTTGCAGCAGCACAGGCCCTGTACGAGGCTTGCCAACTCCAGCGTACAAAAAACCACGACCAGTGTTGGAGGGAAGAATCTACTGGAAGAGGGGAGAACTCCATATGAATGCGTTATCTTGAGCAGAGTGTTATTCACAACTCACAAGGTTGGGGACTTTAAATGTCCAAATGAAGACCTACAAATTTGCCAGGACAGCTGCATGGAATGTAAGGCGGTCACAGGAATATCGGGACAGGCGGCAAACCCTAAGCCGGCAAGTCACCTTGGCCTTGATGCGGATGGTAGCGATATCGGCCTTCTCGTCGGCGTCCACCACCGAGGCTTCGTAGGACTCGCCGTCGTGCAGCTGCACCTTCACGTAGCGCTTGTTCACCACCACGTGCGCGTTGGTCACGATCACGCCGTCTTCCGACACCATGAAGCCCGAGCCACTCGCCACGGAGATGTTCCGGTTGAAGAACGGGTGCCTGGCCGCGTAAGAAGACTGCATTAGCGGCTTTTGGCTGGCCATCGAACAAAGACGGTCGCAGCATCGCGCGCTTTCAGATGCGCTTCTGCGGCCGTCCTGGAACACTCTTCCGTCTGATATTAGGAAGCCACTGAAGCGATGTATTTTTAAATAATCTAGATTGAAAACTGATTTCTTTAGAACTGCGTTTTGTGTTTAGCTTGTTGTCCTTCCCCCGAGCCTCCGATTAGCACGGGTGGTTATGTACAGTGAATAAAAAGTTCAACATACATAAATATATTCGCCTGGAAAGTGACGTAATAAAAGTAATGGTACCAATAATAATGCTTGTTATGTACTATGCAGGAAGGCTTCACTAAGTATCAATAATATTTGTCAAGAGGGTCCTGCATTGGGGCATTTGATCATTCAATTAATGGGTGTTTGGCTTGTGGAAGGAAATCAGATTACTCAGAGAAAACCCACGGACACAAGGAGATAACATCTTAAGCTTCTCACACTTATATTCAATCTATTTCCATGCTGGGAGTTAAGCTTTCAAGATCTGTGAAGATTGGGTGTATTCGGGGTAATCTGGCCACGTTGACTCTCATTTGGAAGTTTGTGAATGGAAGTCCTGATCGAAGTCGACTCCACCCATCATGCCTCTAGGGTAATTAAAAGTCAACATGGAAATCCCATCACTGATTTAGGATCCACTACTGGATATGAACGCCACTCCAGCGCACGTTCGGGAGCAGGGGGCTCGTTTTGACTTGAAAACGATCCGCCAATGCAAACACCGGCACCTCTCCAGAGAGAGGCGCACCGCACACGCCCCTCTCCACCACACCTCGGAGATCACCGCCGCGGTCTCTCACGCAGTTGTGCCTCACCGGGAATAGAGCTCAATGTGCACCACCGCGGGCACGATCTTCTCCACCACGTCCGCGATGAAGTTGAACCTGTCGCGAAGGCTCTTGTGCGGCTGCGAGCCTTAGCGAGAGAGAGAGAGAGATAGGGGGAGGGACAACACGGGGGGCGCCCCGATTAGCCAACACCAGTTGCTTGGGGCCGGAGTCACAGTAAACAAAGAACAACAACTCCACGTGGACCGTGTCTGCAGGTGGGAACCTTGACAGATTGTGGTAGCAAGGTAACAGCAATAGCAGGGTGCTCCCTTTGTCAAGAGGACTCATTAAGTCGTTCCCTGCACCCCCCCCCTAAGGCTGTGCCAAGACGGTATCGACTCACGGCGGAGGCGTCCCGAGCTCGCGAACTCTATCACGGGTGAAACGAGAACCTCTGGCCGCTAATGAATAAGTAAATTAAATAATCAGTGCGGCGTTTAGGCGCGGCGCTGGGGGGGGGGGGGTCCTCACCGCTCTGTGCGTCACTGGCCGTGATGCTGGCGAGAGGGCGCGCCTGCAGAGCCGTCAGCTCCGGAGGGAACGGGGACGCTGCAGCCACACACAAAGACAAAGATCCCCCAGCGTTGTAGCCTTTGAATGGGACTCTTGGGGCGAGTGCTGTTCGTATGTATGACAGCGTCGTGGTGGTTGTTGTTGGTGGTGGTGCGCACAACGCAGGACACGAATACAATTGAAGGGGACTGAAAATAGGCTGAGCCAACACGTTCATTTTGGAATGGGATTCTGTTGCATGTATGCATGCTTACTCTTTGGTTCTTCCGGTAAAGTCACGTAGGTAGAAGAAAAATAATAACAGATCACGATGTTTCGATCGCCACACAAGCAACCGTCTTCAGGTGGGAGTGTATGTATGCTTGTTGAACTTCTTTCGCAACGTACGTAGTGAACCGTGATGAAATCGCAGGTGCGGGGGTAATGACAACAAACTAGACAGAAGTGGCAGTTCTAATATAAATGAGTTTTCGATTTAGATTTGAGAGCGCATCGTTCCAGTGACTTCGCGAGCGCATGTGAAGGCCGGCACGGCACACGAGGGGGTGGGTGGCCAGCATCAGCCGCCTTTGTCTCCAAAGTGTTTACGCATCACAACAGGTACTACATTTGAGACTGAGTCGGAATCTACGCAACCGCTCCCCACGAGAAAACGCACAGTCGCACGCGAATGATGTAGGCATATCGAAACTCAAACATTCACGTACACACACACAGCACGTGCACACGTTGAATATATTGCATCTGGGCACGTATACACACATGCACGTTCAGATTCACGCACTGCACGAGACACACACGTGTGAACGTGTGTACATCACATGAAGGAACATCCACATAAATGCACATCAACACATACACACAACATGTGCACACATTTGAACATGCGTAGGCACATTCACACACACATAGAGAAAATGACATGCACATTCACTGATCATGGGCAAAGATGCCTCCCGCTTCCATTAAGCCTCACAGACTGTTCGACACACAAACTACGAACGATTAAATAATTCAGTTTGTGTGCTGCAAGTGCACTAACTACTACGTAAGCCAATCTGCTCACACACACAACGTGCGTGAGTGAACACACTGTCAATCACACTTGTAAAAACAACCGTGCACGAGTGGGAATACATTACCCTTCAAGCATAGCAATGTATTAGTGACATTAACTCGTTAACGCAGCAACGCGTTCACATTTATTTATTTATTTATTAGCTTTAAACACACTTAGAATTTTAACCCGGATCCCATGGCACTGCAACATCTGTTTTTCATACACAACATGTGCTGTTTCGTTGTTGTTGTTGGAGGAACGTCGAGCGTTCGTCAAAGCGCTAATGCCAGGTTTGTCAGCGATGATTTAACGTCGCATTGACAGGGTGTAGTCTCGATGACAATTGTGTGGCGATGCTGCGCGCAGCGCAGGGCACGAATGCAATTAGTACCGAAGGGCGCCTGAAATCGGCGGCGCCAGCATGTCTATTTGGACTGGGATTCTGTTGTGTGTGTGTGTTAATATGTTTGGACGTTAGACTTCTTTCGCGCCGTACGTAGGCAACCGTGCTCATCGGAGGTGCGGGGGAAGGAAATCGGTGGTGCGGAGGAAGACTTGCAGCCAGTGCTTTAATACATAATTATTATTTTGCTATATTCATAAAAGGGGGGCTCACCAAGTCTCAACACTCAGGAAGGCCCTGTAACTGAGACGCTTGACCAGTACCACGAATGAGCATTTGGCATCATGCGGGCGGCACCGCGATGGTTCAATAAACTCCACCGCGCATAAATACTCCTCTGGGATCACCCCATCAGCACTGCCATCTCCTGGCCACCTTGTAGGCCCACACCTACGACACCTGGCAAGCCCCTGCTGGTTGCCAATATAAGCACGAAGCGGGCTCGACCTTGCTCAACTTTTGAGATCCCGTGAGACTGCGGACATTTAGGCTGCATTGGGATACAGGCAAATGGAAATCGCCTTACATTAATGCGCTCCCTGTGTAACATTGCCAATGCAATATAGTGTATTGATTAATGAATTCGCAAAATATTTGGAGCTGTGGCGCTGGTTTCCACTATATATAAAGAATATTATATACGTACTCTATTATTGTTGTCATCATCAGCCGTGATGAACGCACCTCCGATGAGCACAGTTGGATACGTACCGTGTAAAATAATTGAATAATGCATACGGCCATGATTTATTCACTACTGGAAAAAGGCTTCCCCAAAAACACTATATGGAGCGACTTAGCAATAACTCGGGATCATCAGAGCCTCGGTAGTTGCTACTCTTTGGATGAACGATGCACATTACAATTATTATTCATGATACTCACAATGATTTACGTTTGTGTGCATCTGCCCATCCCGTTTATCTGTTGGCATGTGGTCAATTGTAGATATATTTCGCACTTTTGTCTTTATGTTTATTTCATTTCACTTACATCGCAGCTCGGAATTGGATTTTTGTCTGCGTTGCTCAATCAATAAATAACCTGTTGCCGCAACAAATCATTACCGCATCGTGAGCACATTTCCCAGCCGTCCGTGCTGTGCATTCCCTGCCCATATTGAAGACTTCCCTTTGTTTGCCAACAATGCCAGGCCGTCTCTATCTCTCCATGAATAAATACACCCCACTGATCTGCACGGCAGTCGCATTTAGACGTTAAGTAATTCCACATTGCATTGTATACTAAAGCCCTGGGCTTAAACTATGAGCAACAACAATCCACCATAGAGACAGCCAATACACTCCGCTGAATCCCCCCCCCCCCCCATCAACTAGTTCCACTACCATTATGTGAAACAGTAATCTTTAATTTTCCTTGAGATGATGTCCCTTTTATTTTAATCGCTTCCACGGGCGTATGCAAGCCCCGTACAGTATTAGGTCCTGGCATCACACCAGCTCAAATAAAGCAAGCCTCTTTTGTTGCTCTGCTGGTATTATGTCAGTTGCGTGTAATTATCCGTAATTTTACTGATGTATTGTGGTAACCTTATACTGCTCCTAAAGACTGGGACTGAACCGAGTTTCCTGATTGACAAATAATTAATTAATCAGCCCCCTCATTGTGGAATTTCTGCAACAACGGAATGACCAAACCATTTTCACGAACCATTCTGTTCCGCTGAAATCGGGGCAGTTGCGCCGACAAGCAACTGGAACAAAGCAACCAACAGGAGGGCACTAAAATGAATGTGGCAAAGCAGTAGCTAATCTTAGCACATAATTGCTGACATTATTCTTGGTGTGATTCATTGACACCCGTCGTGGTGGCGCATTATAGCGTCCACTAAGTATACAGCCCAGTTAAAATACCTATTTAGTGCTGATGTCCTCAATCATGATTTCACCACTTCTCATCTTGAATTACCCATTTTATCTTTGTCCATGCACGAACTCACTAAAATGTCATAATTCACACGAATCCATACTCAGTTTCAAGTAACGGTTTACATCCCCGGCATAGAGTAATCATGTACAGCCCTTTTTGACCATAACGACCGCATCAGCCTCGGTTGGCCACAGGGGGCTTGACTGGAGTGTTGGGGGACACCAGAAGGGATTCAGATTTCACTCTCCACTGATCTTAGCTGCAGCCGCCACTGCTGCAGAATTAAACATACTCTCAAATCCCTTTACTTAGTGCCATTAGCAATAAATAAATAAATAAAACCGCCTTACAAATCCATGCGTCTGCCTATGCTTTGCCCCCCAGCTAGCATTAAACAAAAGGCGCTCTTAAATTATTTCCAACCAATTCCTCTTCATATGGCTATGACGGAGCCATCAGCTGATCCTTAAAATAACGCCCGTGTCCGATTGCCCGGTCATATCTCTCGGCAGTATAACTTGCTCATGGGCCACCCAACCCACAAGCTCAACCGTGTGGCCACGCCACGCGCGCGCGCACACACACAGACGACTCGCGCTGCCGTGACCATGACCTGCTCAGCCAGTTTGCTTATTCAAACGGAATCTTGGCTTGAGACTTTCCACCCTCCACCCCCTCACACCCCCCCCCAACATGGATCTCGGCCTCGGCAGGCACCTTGCATTCCTCTGCTTGGTGTTATCACCCCGGGACGTTTTGTGTAGTAACTGTATAAAGGAAACACAATTACGTTGGCATCTTCGTGTTGCAGAACCTAGGCACCAACAAGGGATATACATTCCATTCAATGGATTTCCCTTTGAAGCATAATTATATATATATGTGCTTGTGTATATTTAGCAGTAACAATTGGTCTCAAAGTCAATGACCTGTACTGTGTATACATTCCTAAAGAGATTTGAGGTCACGCTTGAACTTGTGTTGAATGCGTGAACATGTACATAGGATACTGAGTATGTTCAAATAATTTGAAGAGTACGTTTTTTAAATGTGGAGGCAAAAACGGGAGGACCCGGAGAATAATCCACACGACCAGCAGCCGTCAGGGTTGGGATCGAACCCACGACCTCCTGTATACTAGAAGGGGCAGTTAACATCTCACCACCGTGGCACCACGATGATAGAGCCATCAGCTGAGCCCCACGGTTTCCTTCCACGTGAAACAAAATTAAAATCAGTAATTGAAAATGGCCTAAACGTCCCAATGTCTCGAGGGGAAATAAAACAGCATCTCGAGACTAAAAATAATCACGAGCGTCGTTGCTGAGAATATAAATAACGAAAAATAAATAAACAATGTCCCCACATATCTTTGCCTCCACAGAAAAAAATGCAAAAGTATTATTTTTACAAAGCCGTCAGCCACACGGTCTTCTGGGAGCATACAATTTCACCAGCATTGTTTCAAGACAAGCAAAACTCTGGACCGGTTTTGACAACTAGTATCTCATCAGCAGAGTCTGGATTGCTTGACTCAAGTCTCAAGACCCCGGTGGCTTTTCAGGGTAAACTTTTGTCCATTATATAAACTCAGAGTAAATCATTAAAAGCCACAGATTGGACTTTATACCAATGTTTAAGTCTGTGTCACCTTGTTGATGTCTTAATATTTTGCAGTCTGCT